CATCCATCCATCCATCCATCCATCCATCCATCCATCCATCCATCCATCCATCCATCCATCCATCCATCCATCCATCCATCCATTTAATGTTTGAGTAAATGTGAATAAAGAATAATTTGTTTTTCTAAAAATAAATAATAGATACATATACTACCTGAGGGTATTTGATCCAAATAATTTCCACTGGAAATCTTATAACGCTATATTTATCTGTCCTGGTTGTTTGGACGTTGCGGGCAGTAAAAGCGCTTCGCGTTTTCTTGAGAAGAACATTTTTGGCCTTTACTGCTTCTCGTAGCACAACCAGGAAGTGTTTTAGTAACTATATCAACGGAGCTGTTTATTGACTGAAATAAAGGAAGAAACGTTTTAAGCTCAAGGTATGTTTTGTGTTTATGCAGAAATGCGAGCTAATAAATTAAAGTTACTAAAAATAAACTTTTTGCTGAAAAAGTTAAAGTATTATGGAGATCAAATGAACGTGAGAACTATTTTCTAGCTGTGTGTTTTTACATCAGTAGCAGTGCTAAATGCACGTAGGTAGAGACTGTTAACGCCATATAATATTAAATAATGCTCAAAATGTTTCAAATGTGTCCTTTTTCCTTGTTGCATTAATATAAATATGTACAGACACTTAAGGTTTTCTCTAGTTATGAGCCAACTCCTCTAGCTGTTTGTTGTGTTTGTTCAGGCTGATGGCTCTGCCGACGTTCTCGGTCCATCTGTCCAGTCGGTCCCGGATGCTGGCCGAGCAGCTGGCCCGACGGCGGGAGCAGGAGGCTCTGTGGCGCCAGCAGTGGGAGCTACACGCTCGGTACTTCAGAGAGCAGAGCGTCCGCAGCCACAGGCAGGCAGCATGGAGCTCCCGGGGCTCCTTCCAACAGAGGTAAATATGAAGGAGCACCTGAGAGCAAATGCAATTAAATATAGTGTAGATGGAGAGCAGAATCACACACAATCAACACATATAAGGGTCATTTAAAAAGAAAATGTCCTCTTAGACAAAGACAAAAACGTTTTTATTTGTTGTCAGTGCACCAGGTCTACTGATGCAAAGAAATGAATGGAAGTCAATACAATGTTCTAATAAGGATACTTTGTAGAATTATATAACATATGTGTGAATATACTGTATTTCTGCCCAAAGTTAACCTTTTACTAGACATGGGTTTTTGCAATGTAAAATCAAGTGTGTTGCCATGTAGCATGTCATTGTAGCATGCCCTTGCCTGCAGCAGTGGACTTGCAGAATGAGCTGTGACCAAGTTCAAAAGTGTTTTCTATACCAGCTTGTGCTTGTCAAGTCAGCAGGTGTTTGTAATGAGGGTAATTGTGTGGCAATATGAAGTTTGAAGAGAATTTTAGTTAAAGTTGCTGGGTTTTGAAGTCCATGGCGTTAACCATGAGACCATTGGAGCTGTGTGAAAGCACAGTCCCAGTTTTTTTTTCTGTGTGTAGAAAGAAGCAACATTGCCAATGACGATCGTTGACACAAAACTGCAATATGTTACAACAATAAAGCAATATTATATAAGATTACAAGACAATATTATAGTAAAACATTAAAATACAAAGAAATTAGTATTGTAATCACTGAAGTACTGACTTTAAATATTATTAAAGTGTGGTGCAGTACTAGGGTTGCCACGATTAATCGACGACTAATCGATTATTGAAATAATCGATGACTAATTTAATAATCGATTAATTGTTTTCTTTTCTTTTTTTTTGTTCTTTACTTTGTTTTTCTCTCCAAACTGCTTTGACACCTTCCACTGCCACATCTGCCTTTCTGTCCTTGACACACATGCACAGTAGTGGTAACTGGGGTAGGCCGTAGACGTCACAAGACATTATACAGACAGGCTCTGGTATCATGGCTACCTGACAATGGAGCTCAAAAGTGTGGGATCATTTTAAGAAAATGAAAGAGAAACCTGTGCAATATCTGCAGAGCAGAACTTGCCTTACACAGCAATTATTTTTAGTTAGCATATAGCTAAAATCTAACCATGGTTATATAATAGCAGCTGCATTCTGACGTGATAAGCTGTATGTTTTATATTCAATTAACATATGATCCGATTAGTCGACTAATCGAAAAAATAATCGGTGATTAATCGATTATAAAAAAATCGTTTATGGCAGCCCTATGTAGTACCAAGCTGAGCACATAAATCAGGGGCAGTATTGGACCAATACAAGGCTCTATTGACACCCATTAATAAAGTATAAAAATTAATATTTCAAAAACTATAAGTTGTACAGGCACCAAAAAGCATAGCCTGCATTTGGCACAGGAGCTTTACAGATACAAATTACAATGGCAGCTGTAGGATAAAGTATGTAGGAGGAGAAGCGTGCCGAAATAGAGGATGACTTGGATAGGGAACGAATCACAATAGATTGATGATTAGTAGATGAAATGCCAGAAAAACACAATAAGCGTTTGGAATTTTTTTGTTTGTTTGTTTTTGTCAGCATGTCAGCCTACCATAACCAAAGACTGAAGGAGGAAAAGAAAGCCAACCTGGAGCGGCGCAGACATCGGCTCAGGGTCATGCTTCAAGAGGAGCGAGACCAGCTGGAGGCAGAGCTCCGGGACATAGTCCCTGACCAGGCCGCACTGACAAGTCAGCTGCTGCAGAAAACTGAAGAGCTTCGATTGGCTAAAGAAGAAAGAAGGAAAAAGGTAGCTGCACTGAATAAACTGCATTTTTTAAAATTAATAATGATCATAATGCTCAGCTGTAAAATAATAGAATCTTATATTTCGTCTGGTCTGCCTTTAGGTTGCACAAGAGCTTCTGAAGGAGCACTGGAAGAGAAACAATCCAGAAATACGACAGGTACATGTCTGTGTTTAAAGGACTGATGCAAACTTGACTAAAATGACCGTAGTCAGACTGGGGATGACATAATTAATGGCTTTAGGTTTCAGGTAACCATCCTGTGTGTGTGACGAGTCCAACAAGCAGAGAAAACAGACACTTTGTAGTTAAGCTTTTCATCTGATCTGGAAATGTATCGCTCCTGTGAGGCACACATTCTGTGGCTTTCTGTTAACTTGAGTCCAGCATTTACCTTAGAGAGTAAAATTCTAGGTATCCTTTCCTCAAGGAGTCAGGTTCATCAGCACCTCTGTCTCAGGTTTGTCACAGCTCACTCTTTACCTCCATCGACAGGTGGAGTCAGCATTGCATAAAGATCACGTCGTCAGCTGGTGGCAGGAGCAGATATCGGAGAAGAAACAGGTAGGAAGATCATCCCAGCTGTCAGAAAATGTCCCGAATGATGTTCAGTCTGGTGCTGATCAAACCAAAGTTTTAGGAAACTACCCTTTCACCCAGTCTCTGAGGCAACATAAGACCAAACAGACCTTAAACTACTCATTATCCTTTTACATCACCCATTATTTATGTAGCGTATTCATTTTTAATCAAAGGCTGCCCGTGCGTTCTGTGAGCACAGTATCATGTCTGAAGTCTGCACAGGTTAATCCCCTCGACACGGTGCATAATTAAGAAAGTTTGACACTCTGTATAAGTGACCCGTCTCATCAAACATGCAGAAAGAGGTGACAGAACGGGAGGAGAAGAGGCGCTTTGAAAAYGAGTACGAGAGGACTCGGAAAGAGGCTCTGGAGAGGGTGAAGCAAGCGGAGGAGCAGAAGAAAGAGGAGGAGCAGAAGAGGGCAGAAGAGCTTCGGAAACAGATGGAAGAACTAAAGCTGAGGGAGAAGGAGGTACTGTATTTGGATCTTTTAAATAAAACCTATTGTATGAATAGTTTTTTTCTTTTTTTTTTTAAGGATCCAAATATTGTATTTTCCCACTTAGGCTACTCGCTTAAAAAAAGAGCAAGAGGCGCTGTTAGTTCAGCAGTGGGAGCTGGAGAGGTTGGAGGAGGAAAGGAGGAAGATGGAAGAGAAACGAAAAAACATTGAAATTGGGTAAGGGAAGTTTTTTTTTTGTTMAGATAACTTGTAAAATTAGATAGTTTCCAGTTAAAGGATTGAGCTCATCAGCTTTTTGTTGCGCCAGGCGGTTTTTGATCCGTCARTATCGAGCTCAGCTGAAGAGGAGGGCCCAGCAAGTCCAGGAGGAACTGGTACCCCACCTGCAGCRTATCGCTCTACATTTAATCCATGTTCCTTCAGCCGAATGCTAACCTTTTAATGATTTGTGAACACCAGGAGGCGGATTGTAAGATCCTAGCAGCCCTGCTGGAAGGAGAGGAGGAGGACAGGAGGCTGGAGACGGCACGAAGGGAACGAAGGATCGCTGACGCCGCCTGGATGAAACGTGTGATTGAAGAGCAGCTGGAGCTGGAGCGGGAGAGGGAGGCCGAGTTCGACATCCTGCACAGGTCAGCGTCGCGGCTAGGTGACAAAAATAAAAGCACTTCTGCTGCATTTCGAACACAAACCAGTGTTTCACGTGAATGTACAGAGAAGAAGCTCAGCRCGTGTGGGAGAAACGAGAGGCTCAGTGGGAGAAGGAGAAGAAAGCCAGAGAACGACTCATGCGGGAGGTGAAACTCAGGCTTTAAGTGAAGTTCTTTTTAAAAATGAATCATCATTGATAAAAAAAAATTTCTTGGGAAGGTGCTCGCAGGGCGACAGCAGCAACTGGAGCTGAAAATGCAAAAGAATCGCGAGGCTCAGGAGGAGTCGCTGAAGAGACGCGAGGAGCTGATCCAAGAGCTGGAGCAGGAGCAGGAGCTCCGCCGCCTGGAGAAGGAGCAAGAAGAGGCCTGGAGAACAGCAAACATGCAGGAAATAAAGGCTCAGGTCAGTGAGAGCCGCATGTTTTGTTTCAAATCTGTCTGAGAACACATTCGTCACTTGATGGGTTCAATACAGGTGGGGCAGAAACACCAGGAGCAGTGGGAGGAGCAGCGCAGGAAAGAGGAGGAGGWGGAGCAGGACAGGGAAGCTGTCCGGTTACAAGAGGAGGATCTGAGACTTGAGGTGCAGAAACTTGCTGAAAAGGGGTACCAAGAAAAGGTAGAGCAACCCAATTCAAGCTACGTGTTCATCTTCAAACTCCCAAAGTGCTCTTTAATTTTAAACGTGCTTAAATCTGTCGTTTTGTTTTCAGATTCACAGCAGACCTCGATCAGCTTGGACTTAAACTGCCTGAAAGACAGAACTCCAACTGAAGTGTGAAACGTTTGCTTCCTGTAGAGAATTAATTGATCGGTTCTTGTCCGTGTGTCATCCTGTCAGACTTGTTTACTAGCTGAACAGAAACACGTCTTCTTTTACCAGATTACTGTGACAGATGGGGAGAAGGCATTCACAATAAACTGAAAGCTCATCAAATCCTTTTTAAGTGCAAACCATAATCTTATTGATGATGACAAGGATGTTCTTTCAGTGATTACCCACCTGATTTCATCATCYAAGCAAGTATTGTGTGCAGAGTTTGAACTTCTTTGTTGGAACAATTTATTAGTCCTTTATTGAATATTTTCATGGTCAGTACGAAGGAGGAACCATTTTAACTCAAATCTCAAACTCTGCAGAACGTTTAGTTTGTAAAACCAAAAAATACATCTGTATTTCAGTGCCTTTTARTTTTTTATGAAACATTCTTGAAGCTTATAAAGGCCAGATGTTGTGTTTATTATCATTAGTTTTCCTTTTTTTTATTGAAAAGCACTTTTTGATTTGTTCAGGAACGAAGTTGTTCAGTATTTTTTATTGATTTTATAGACATTCTTATAAAAAAAACTTTTGCAGTCAAAACTGTAGAACATTTAAAA